ACGCCGGGCTTTCCAGAGTTTCCTGAGACTCAGGCGCAGTCGCGTTCTCAAGAGCCTGTAACCTAGCCCGACCTTCTATCTCGGCTCCTCACACTAAGGAGCTATATCCCACCAGGGTTTGTCCATGGGGACAATGCATTAGCCTTCCCATCACCTGATATTTCTTTAAGTGGCGTACCTCGCTGTCAGTCACCGTCAGGCAATTGCTCTCCGCCAAATCGACAAGCCGACCTTTGTTGACGAAACTACTGCACACAGCACTCTCCGGGGATGTGATGGATGGTTGAGTCACCTTTTTCAGAGCGCATGCTCCAGTTCCTGCCGTTATCTTGTAGCATCTGACGTCGGTAGAAACTAGCCACCAATCTTTCATTGGCAACTGCGCCAACACAGAGGAAGAAGCCGGAAGGTTCCCACGAGCATCCCATTCGCTCTTTTGTAAGGCGCAAAAGCGACATCTCGTGCACTATAAGTTTCATAAACATCGTTGTGGCAGAGACAGTAGATGACTTTAGACCCCCCACGCAGCAGTTACTTCCGGGAAATATCGGCGTCATAGTACAAAATGGGCTCGCATCGTCACTGTTTGCGTCTGTATCTGACAGAGCACGCGCGCGCTCCTTAAACGGACCGAAGAGTGGAGGTGCTGGATCAACACGAGAGCTAGATCAGGGCATGGCAAACGTTCGGGTTGCGTGCCCATAACGAACGTGAGAATTGTTACTGGCACGCGTAGGTTCTGGCTCAGGCATTAGTTACCCGTGAACTTTATGACACTGAGTCAGGCGTGGAGGCAGCTTCGGCCGCGCCTTCCACCTGCGTCCGATCCCGCCTCCAGTCTTCTTGACTCTGTCGTGACAGCGCGTTCGAATAGACGAGGGAAGAAGGCGTGTAGTAGATGTAAGGCAAATCTACTATCACCCAAAACTCGTCCATTTGTCCCTGCGTCACCATGTGATGGAGCACACGGTAGATATCACCAGAATCGACGGTCGAACTGTCGACAGTGAGCACGTTTCAACTGCCTACTCGAATTTATGCAAGGCCGGTTACGGTCCTTTAATCACTTGACGCATCAGTCCCAAAAAGCATGAGACTATCACAAAACCCGGTGTGCAGATACATAACGCTAGAGCAGCGAATCGTACTCGGCATAAGTACGGTTTGTTCAGGTGGCTCCCAGGTCTGCCCTGACGGCGAATAGGTGCCGCGCCCCATTCCATTTTATAGACGCCTTCTCAAGTGATGCAGTCGTAGAGTGTTAAACTCAATAACCAGAGGCCCTGGGTTCGAATCTCGGGGATTCCGG